CTAAAAACACTGCAGTTTACAAAAACTTGTGAACCAAATAAAAATACTTACAATGATGGTTGTGGCTCCAAATGAGCGTGACTAAGGCGTACACTGTTACGTCTTTCATACTGCATAGCTTGCTGAAGTTTTTTCACCCAAACATCACATGCCTTTGCTGTGTCTGCAGACTAGTGATTAAAACATAGTAATTAACTACTGGGTATGTTAGTAGAGATTTTAGATAAATATAGAAATAAAGAAATTTAAATAACATGTCATCTCTCACTTGAAGTCAAACACAGACTTCTTTGGTAGCTGTAGTTTTTCTGAACTGACTTTCAATTATATTATTCATGTTATTTTATTCTGATATGTCTTTTGACATTCTATTGCATTTACACTATAAATGTGAAATTTAAACCTTTTGGTTATAATTACAAATGAATCATCATCACTGATGATATGCACATAAACATTGTTTACAAGGGCAAGACATACGGGCTATACAACACTCAGGCACAAGTTTTTAATACTATGTACAGTAGTGTAGATATCGTGTATACAGCTGTTATTGTAAACAGAGCATCATTATACTTGTATACAGAACATTATGATATTGCTATAACATACCAGCAAGTGCATCCTGTTTTTTGTAACAATTTCAAAAGCATGCCCATGGTGTACTTGGAAGCACCTCCTCACAGACTGTGCTCTACACACATCAATAAGACCAGCATGTGCATCATTCTGTACAAGAATAAAATTAGTTCAAAATATATTTTAGATGTTCTTAAAGTCATTTAAATCACAACATGTGCCAATGCACTCAATACCTCTTTATTCTTAATTCAAAGTTTTTTTACAGTTAAATGAAATTTTAGACATCTGCATCTCTCTTCAAAACATGGATATTTAAATACTAAAATTATTTTAGTTTCAATTTTTCAATGAATCTAACCAAGGACGTATATTCAATATACGTCCTTGATCTAACTAAAGTCTTCTGCAAGACAACTTCTAGATAGAAAATATAGATCCTTATTACTTACCCTGTTTTGTGGATCTTTGTAATAGTGCAGTTTATCTCTCCTCAGAACAAACCAATACTTTTTCCAGGAAAATTTCTGTAAAAAAGTACTTGTTGCATTTTCATAGAATCGATATTAATCAATTGTATTCAACTTCCATGCTAGATACCATAACTACCAATGCAAATAACAGAAAGTATGAGTTACCTTTTGATTTTAATGTGTGATATTAAAACCAATTATTAAAACTTTTAAAACTATATTGAAGAAATTCCACATGTACATTTTAACCTCTCTTTGCTAAGAGCTCAGTTGACCTCTGACCAGCAGCCCTGGGCCCCGTAACTCGACCGAGTGCATGTGTCTCGATTCCATAACTCGCCCATACTTGCCCCATGTAATACATTGTAGCCGCTATTCGCAATACACAATGCTTTTGAGTTACAGAGCCGTGTTTCATTTTAGCAACACGGCTGTTTCACAATCAGGGTGAACAATTAAATGTGGTTAATGTTACAAGTGTCTGATAAATTAGCAATTTTTGATTAAAGATTGCTGATAGACTGATATCAAAGACACTATTCATAGGAGCAAAATAAAAAAAGAATTATAATAATCGGACTACAATTTACAAAAATATAGCTAATTATGTGTTCAAAAAGTACCTATTTTTAGCTGTTACGATGGGTCATTTGCAATTAAGGTCATAAATATGATGCACTAGCTCTTTATGTCAATGATTTATGGTGAATATGATATTGGTATATAATTCCCACAACATATGTCTTCTCTTCTAGCAAGTTCTTCCAAAGAAACGTTCTGAGAAAAAATTTATTTTAACCATTTTGCTGAAACAGGCTTTTGTACACATTTTACTTATTTTTGTTAATGCAATGAAAAACATATTTGATAAGGCCAAATATCACTTTGACATCACCTACGTGATGATAAGATGAATTTACCATGTTATGACTTCATCATAATAAAGGAGTTGTGCATATGTGACCATTATTAATAATGCTATGGTATTTATAATCATGAGCCCCTTGGTGTCTCCTAATTTTTGTAGTGTCCATACCCCCCCTATCGGTTTTATTTAGGAATCACAGCATATTCTGTCTGATTTTATTATTTTATGTATGTCCACACTGACATTTATTTTTCAGGAAGAAAATAGCACATTACCCCTTATTATGAAAAGATATGCAAGAATTTGGTGCCAAATGTAGTGTCTGTACCCCTACTGTAGTGTCCATACCCCCAAGTTATACATTAACCATTTGGATAACTGGCTACTTATCAATGATGATAAAACTTCAAAATATGGTACAAAATATTGTTCTAGATTGTATAAAATGCATTCATGTCCTATGATGTTTAGAAAAAACATTGTATATAAATGTATATCCGATAAAGTGGTACTAATAAATAAGAGTCAGGCAAGACATTTTGCAAAAAAAATATCAGTAAAGATGCTACTGCTACTTCAAAATGAACGATATTGCTTCCAATATATTGCCAAATATAGCTAATTGCAAAATAATAAATTGTATATGGATTAATATTCTATGGATTTATATATATGATATATTTTGAGGGGGTACGAACACTACCATACATGCATAATTAACAGAGGTATATTTATAATACTCTAAGTGGATGAAGTATCAAACACGGATGACAATGAACAAAAGCCAAATAGGAAAAGAAAAGGGAAACCTGAAATTTTTACTGTCAGCAAAAATAATTTGAAAAAAAAAAAAAAAAACGTCAAAGAGCTAATAGTCATGCTGAAACACGTAAGGAAGATGTTGAATGCTTGTAACATAGCAGAGAAGCAACAAAAAAAAATGAAGAATCATCCAAGGCTGGCCCAGCAAGAAAGACTAAAGAAGAGAGAAGAAATTAGGGCATACTGACATAGAGTCAAGGAGAAGCAGAAACCTAACAATCCTGAAAACAGCAGAGCAAGAGGTGCAAATTAACTAGAGATGAAAAAGAAGAAAAGACTCAAAAAACAAGAATCAAGACTGAAACAAAAATAAATAAATAAATAAATAAATAGAAAAGACCAAGCAACAGAAAGAAAAAGTTTTAAATCTGGTGAATGAAAGTAAAACTGCATGACACACAACCAAGCACCAGTATCCACTGAAAAAGGTGCTGTGTACGTGTTTCTCCAAAAAACATTTTGATTAATACATGAACTTGTATCCTTTTGGATTAAGTACTGTTGTTCTATCTTTATATTGATATTTTTAGAATGTTGGCAAAAATAGCTGGTAAACAATATGATATTTCAGTTAAAAAAGCATCAGTTACTTGAATGTGTAGTGTCCGTAGCCCCCAAATCATAGCCTAAGAGATATCCTGTTAATTTGAACGTAACACAAAAATAATTAATATTGTGTTCTAAAAATGTTGGATGTTATAGTTAAGATGTTATTCTTTTTATCTGTTACAAAATTAAACAAATGCATCAAAGTTCATTTTTCTCTCAATGTGACCCCTATTTTGTACCCCTGATTGCGAAACAGCCGAACAGGTAACAACGGTCCTTCCTGTTGTGGTCAAACCACATGCTTAGTTTGCAATGCAATCGTAGTTGTTCTGTCCAGGGGCATTCTTTTTTCTTGCAGACAGAACATCCTTGGGGGAAGCCCCTGAGAAAATACAGGCGCTCTGCGCCGTTCATGCTTGTTTAGAGTTAAGAGTTAGAGGTGGATAGTGTAAGACGGAGCAGTTGGTCAAGCGAAAAAGCAGTTAGCTGTTACTGCGTGGGCTATCAGCCAGAGGGCAGAGCTCTTTTAGTAGACTTTTACCTGATACTTAGATGTGTTGAGTCGAAATAAAGATTATAAAAAAGAACCCTGTTTTGTTCGTGGCAGCAAATTTAGTTTTAAAAGAAAAAGTACCTTATAGGTTACAATATGCATAAGTTACTGCTGTTGAGTGTTGTACTAGCATTATACGTAGCACAAGCAGAGCTTCATAATCAATAACAATAACATGAAAACTATGAAATCTCTCACCAATTTCCCCTGTTTTTCTAAATAACCTTCTTCGTGTAGATCATCACCAAATTCCATCTTTTTTTCGAGACTGAATCGACCACTCGAGTGACTATTAACCCTGGAAATAACACTTCCGTGTTGCTTTACTTCCGCAATCTATTTCTTGTTTCTTTTTAATAGATGGCGGGTATAACAAGAGGCTCTTTCAGATATTTTGATAAGGAGAGACAAGCCCCATTCAGTGTGCAAGTTTAATGATCTCAAACATAGCGTCTTTCTCAAAAACAAATACTCATTCACTACACGTTTATATAGACTAAGAGTTTCTTGGCAAAAGCGTTTGCGCAGAGCTTTCGATTAATAGTATTACCACAGAAAATTGTGCTAGAGAAGATAGCCTAGGCGCGTATGTATTTCCAATAATTATGTCACATCTTGATTGTGTTTATTTCCAAGTGGTCAGGTAATACCTTCCACTTGGTTGTATGACCTTGTATCCATTTGCATAAATATCATGTAGGAGTAAGCTCCTGTATTTATTTATTTATCATCCCATGCCCTTAATTATTTCTTTTTTTTTTTTTATTAAATTTAATCTACATATGTTTAAATTGAAATATAGCCTACTTATAGATGTGACCTTATCCTGAGGTTTTTATAAACGATACAGCATGTATTAACCCATTGTAGCCCT